GGGTGAGTGGAAAAAGTAGACAATTTGCAAGAACAGATGGATATCATAAGCACAGAATGGAAATTCTAAGTAAGCATAAAAAAGAGATGCTAGAGGTTAAAAACACTATAACAAAAATGAAGACTGCCTTTATTAGGGTCATAGGTAGACTGGACATAGATGAAGAAATAATTTCTGAGTTTGAGGATGTGACAATGGAAACTTGCAAAGTGGAAAAGCAAAGAGAAAAAAACTAAAAATAAACAAACAACAGTGTCTAAGAATTGCAGGACAACTGCAAAAGGTGTAACAGACTCATAATGGGAATACCAGAAAGGCAAGAAAGAAAAAAGAACAGAAACAATATTTAAAGCAGTAAAAACAGAGATTTTCCCAAATTAACATCAGACAACAAACCAAGGATCCAATAAACTCAGAGAACACCAAGTGGGATAAATTCCAGAAAAACTACACCTAGGTATATCATTAAAACTGTAGAAAAATGAAAAATAAAACTACTGTTTTTCACTTACACATAAACAATATTAATCAGATACATTGTTATAATTATTATTACTTTAAACAAACTGCTATCTGTTAGGTCAAGTCACAATAAGAAAAATAGAAGTGTTTCTTTTACCTTCACTTATTTCTTCTGTGATCTCTTCTTTTCCTTATGTAGATCTGAGTTTCTGACTCATATTATTTATCACTCTTGGAAGAACTTTTAACGTTTCTTCCAAGGCAGGTCTACCGGCAACAAATTATCTCAATTTTTGTTTGAGTTTTTATTCTTCCTTCACTTTGAAGGATAATTTCATAGGATAAACAATTCTAGGTTGGTGGGGTTGTTTTTCTCTTAACACTTTAAATATTTCATTCTACTTTCTTCTTCCTTATATGATTTCTGAGGAGACATTGGATGTAATTATTTTATTTATGCCTTTATAGGAAAGGTGGTTTATTTCCCCCTCTGGCTCCTCAGCATCACACAATATACCATGTAACAAACTTGCACATGTACCCCATGATTCTAAACTAAAAGTTGAAATTACAAATAAATAAAGCAAAAAAAAAAAAAAAAATCATGAATTAGCAATGGTCATGCTAGCACCAAATATATACCAAACACTTCAATAAAGAAAGCTGCAGAAGGAAGATTGCATTTCACACACACAAACAAAAGGAAATAAAAGAAACCCGCTTTAAATATAAAGACACATATAGATTAAATATAAATGGATAGAGAAAGAGATATCATGCTAACACTAATCAAAAGAAAGTTGAAATAGCTGCCTTAATTTCAGAAAAAGCAGACTCCAGAGCAAGAAAAGCTATCAGGGATAAAGAGGGACATTATATAATGGTAAAGGGGCCAATTCTCCAAGAAGACATAACAGTCCTTAATTTGTATGCATCTAACAACAGGGCATCAAAATACATGAGGCAAAAACTGACAGAACTACAATGGAAAATAGAAGAATTCACTATGACAGCTGAAGATATTGACATCCCTCTATTGGAAGTGGACAAACCCAATAGGCAGAAAATCAGCAACTACATAGTTGAACTCAAAATTCATAGCTGCAGAATATCATTATCTTCATTCTGTAAATAAGAGCAGGAACTCACCGGCAATATGTAAGATCTGCCACAGAGAACTTAACAGGGAGTGGAGGACATATTTCCCACCACTGACTGCACTACTTCCTTCTAAAGCACTCCAGAAAAATATGACATGTTTCTCTTTCTGGAAATCATTAGAAAACGTTGTTCACTTCCTGCAGAATCAAGCAATGTTTTCTGAAATCCCAATTTTCTTTCTACCATGATTTCTGGGACCACAGGAAACACTGTGATAAGATTGCTAAAGAAATAAATGCTTCCTCTCCTTTTTCAAATCTAATTTGGTACTGATAATGTAATTTGGGAATCCTAACTGCACCAACCATGGCTAAGATAAACATATAAAGTGGATCCCCATGTGTGGGCACATGCATGCAAAAGGGAAGATTAACCTGAACAGAACGGGTGCTGGGGACAACTTGAGAATGCAGGGCCTAAAGAAGCTGGGCTGCAGAAACATGCTAATGAGGGCTAACATAGGTTGTGGCAGCAGCAAGGTGGGGCAGAGCTGAGCATGTAACAGAGAACACAACAGGGTACAATCGCAGATGAGACTGGCTGGAATGGACAATTAACACAATTGAATCAAGTAACACTAAGGCTGGAAGGGGAGAGATTCAATCCACGAAGCCCAGACTTTCAACGCAATTCCACAAACATAACTCAAAGTTGGATCCTGTGCTTGACACTGTGGAAGCAAAACTGAGTAAGGAACAGGCCCCACCTAGGAAAAGTCCACAACTTAAGTGGGAAAACGGACATGTAAACAAAGTGCTATAAATGAAAATGGCAAGTGCTGTCAGAGGTGTGTATAAAATGCTATGGGAAATGGGAAAGGGAAGTCATTAATTCCACCCTAAGTGATGTGAGTCCCTGAAAGTTACTTAGAGAAAGGGACATTTCAGCAGACTATGTTAATTGAAAGTAAATGTTCAAAATGATAAAGTGACAAGTATTCCTGGAAGAGGTGTGGAACAACTAGGCATTTACTGGCACCTGCAATGGGGCCTCAAAGCCATGCTGGTAGCCTTTGACTATACCTCGCATATAGTCCCATACACCTCCCATAGTGGGTCCAACAGTGGCCCACAGAAGATATGTCTACCTGGTACCCTAATATGACCTTACTTGGAATTGAGTCTTTGCTGATATAATTAAGGTAATTAAGATCTTGAAATGTGATCATTCTGGATTAGTGTGGCCCTTAATCTAATAACCAGTGTCCTTGTAAGAAACAGAAGAGACAGACACAGAGAGGCACAAGGAAAAAGCCATGTGACTAAGTAGAGATTGGCATGTTGTGTCTACAAATCAAGAAGCACCAAGGACTGCTGGAGCCACCACAAGCTAGGAGAAGGAGAGGCATGAAATAAGGTCAGGGGCAGTGGCTCATGCCTGTAATCCCAGCATTTTAGGAGGCTGATGTGGGAAGATTGCTTGAGGCCAGGAGTTCAACACCAGCTTGGGCAACATAGCAAGACCATCTCTTTTAAAAAAATTTTTTTGTAAAGAAAAACATGGAACAGATTCTCCCTCAGAGACTCCAGAAAGAACCCTGCTGACATCTTGATTTTGGACTTTTGTTCTCCAGAACTGTGAGAGAATAGATTTCTGTTGTTTTTAGCCACCAAGTTTGTGGTAATTTGCTACAACATCCCTAGGAAATGAAGAATACACCCTTTCATCAAGATAGGATCCCAGGTTACATGTGGTCCATAGACCTGGCTAAGTCACTGGATCCTCTCACCTGGGAATGTGAAACAAAGTTAGCTGAGTGGAGCTACCAGGTGATGGGTTCTGGCAGCCCTGTTTTAGACATACGAGAAAAGAAAGATGGCCAAGAGAAGAGTGAAAAAAAGCAAAGAGAGAAGCAAGGGTGAGAGTCCATGTGATGACTGACAGTTCAGTACGGGTGCTCATGTGGAACACATGAGACCCTATTGTATCAAGTACCTGCCTATGGATGCCCATGACATTGCCTATTATATCAATGCAGTAAAATGCTGCTTATTAAAGTAGCTTGAACATGTTTTTGTTCCTTGCAACCAAATGATCCCCAATATAACCATGATGCTAAGAAGTAACTTAGTTTTCAGAAACCATGAGGAGGTGAAAATAAAATGGAAATTGCTAAACAAATGAATAAATTCAAAGTGTAAATTGATTGAGAAAGAAAAGGTAACAAGTGGAAAATTTTAGCAATAAAAGGTCTCTGAATAGAAAAACAAGCAAGTTTTATTTTATAATAGAGCACATTGATTGTTTCAAGCCCCAGATTAGATCTTCAAATCAGGAGAGAGAATGATAAAGAGAGAGTATCAAATGGTCCAGAGACAGAAACAAGCACAGTTCTACTGAAAACCATTTACATCCCCCCCAAGGAGTAGGTCTTGTGGTCCCTCTGCCTTGGATCAGGTCTCAATATCTTAATCCCAGATTAATTAATGGATTCCTTCAGTCTCTAAAGATGTAGAGACACATAGCATCAACTATGTGCCAAGGATGGTGGCAGGCCCTGAGATACGAAGATGAAGATCCCAGCCACTATCAGTCAGTGGGCTCATCAAGGAAAGATGTAGAAACGGGCCATCATTACAGCTGTGAGAAAAATACAGGCATAAGAAAAACACAGGAATGTTCAGGGCAAGCATTTAATTTTGCCTGCAAATTTCAGAGACAGCTACTCAAAGGAATATACATTTGAGCTGAATCCTAAAGAAATGAGTAGACAGATGTACACCAGCGGAATAAGACAGCAAAGGGCAGTCTAAACACAGAGAACATACAAAGCCTAGAAGGTGGAGAAAATGAAATTTACTACTCCAAGAACAGCAGGTCCTTTGAAATGCCTACTACATCCCAATCCATGAAGGCAGGACTTTTTTTTTTCTGTTCTATTTGCTATTAAATTTCCAAGTCAATCATCAGAATGTAAGTTCCACAAAGGTGGTGATTTTGTCTTTTTTAGTGAAATCCATGGAGCTTAATCCAGTGTTCAATTCCCAAATCTTATGTTACTAACCTCATCTTAGCAGCATTTGACACAACTGATTCCTCTCCCCTTGACACTCTATCTTCTCTTGGCTTCCAGGCAGTAGTGTGCTGGTAAATGTTTAACAACAGGTTCTCCAGAAAAATTTTCAAAAGTTCCAATTTGTTGCCTTTGCTGATTTCTGTGATGTAAGTACTCCCACTATGGCCAATTTCAGTCTACCAGTGTGACTGCTGAGTTGGAAAGAGATGAAGAGTAGTACACACCATTATGTAGTATTTCCGCCACACAGATGCAACAGCCATAATCTCAGGAGCACAGATATTAGTAAAGTCTACTAAAATAATTAAGAAGTGGGCCATTTCTTTTTAGCCCTGCCAAAGTCGAGTGTCTGGTCTGTTTTGACACCAGACCATGTAAGAGACAATGATGTTACGCACTGAAGGTAGAGAGGGATATATGGTGAAGGTCCATGGCCTGCCCTGGTCTTGCTCAGCCGATTAAGTGCAGCATTTTGGTTTTTTTTTTCTGACTGCAAAATCCAAAATGAGGCTCAAGGTATTCATTTCATCTACACCAGAGAAGGCAGGCTGGGTGGCAAGGCTTTTGTTGAACTTGAATCAGAAGATGAAGTCAAATTGGCCCTGAAAAAAAGACAGAGAAACTATGGGACACAGTTTTGTTGAAGCATTCAAGTCAAACAACATTGAAATGGATTGGGTGTTGAAGCATACTGGTCCAAATAGTCCTGACAAGGCCAATGATGGCTTTGTACAGCTTAGAGGACTTTCCTTTGAATGCAGCAAGGAAGAAATTGCTCAGTTCTTCTCAAGGTTGGAAATCGTGCCAAATGGGTTAACATCGCCGGTGGACTCCAGGGGAGGAGTACAGGGGAGGCCTTCGTGCAGTCTGCTTCACAGGAAATAACTGAAAAGGCTCTCTAAAGAAACACAAGGAAATAATAGGGCACAAGTATACTGAAATCTTTAAGAGCAGCAGGGCTGAAGTTAGAACTCACTACAATCCACCATAAAAGCTTATGGCCATGCAGAGGCCAGGTCCCATGATAGACCTGGGTCTGGCAGAGGGTTTAACAGCATTGGCAGAGGAGCTGGCTTTGAGAGGATGAGGCATGGTGCTTACTTATAGTGAAGGATATAGAGCCAATGATAATTATAATGGCTATGGCTATGGATTTGGGTCAGATAGATTTGGAAGAGACCTCAATTATTGTTTTTCAGGAATGTCTGCTCACAAATATGGGGATGGTGGCTCTACTTTCCAGAGCACAACAGGACGCAGTGTACACGTGTGTGGATTACCTTACAGAGCTACTGAGAATGACATTTGTAATTTTTTTTCACTGTTCAATCCTGTGAGGGTACACATTGAAACTAGTCCTGATGGCACAGTAACTGGTGAAGCAGATGTTGAGTTTGCAACTCATGAAGATGCTGTGGCAGCTATGTCAAAAGACAAAGCAAATATGCAACACAGCGATGTAGAACCCTTCTTGAATTCTACAGCAGGAGCCAGCAGTAGTGCTTACGGTAGCCAAATGATGGGGGGCATGGGCTTGTCAATCCAGTCCAGTTATGGTGGCCCAGCCAGCCAGCAGCTGAGAGGTGGTTATGGAGGTGGCTATGGTGGCCACAGCAGCATGAGTGGATATGACCAAGTTTTACAGGAAAACTTACGTGATTTTCTCAGACATTGCATAAGCAGCCAAGGAGCAATGAACAGCAGCTACTACAATAATGGAAGCTGTGCATCTATAGGCATGAATGGAATGGGAGGGATGTCTACCATGTCCATTATGAGTGGTGGATGGGGAATATAATTGATCACTGACTCTTGCTCAATTTTTTTTAAAGAAAAACCCAAAACTTCAGTTTAACAGTTTCTGCAATACAAGCTTATGAGTTATGCTTACTCTCTAAGTGGAAATCAGTATTGTTACGAAGACTTAAGGCTCAGTATTTTTTTAACACAATACTCATCTAGGATGTAACAGTGAAGTTGAGTAAACTATAACTGTTAAACAAGTTCCAGCTTTGCTCAAGTTAGTTATATTATAGGATGTTCTTAAGCAGAAAGCGTATTGAGGTAAAAGGAGTTGAATTATGTTCACTGTTGCCCTTTGCTACATTGTACACTGTGTAGATGCATGCTGAAAGATGTGGTTTTGTGTGTGTGTGTGTCTGTCTACAATTAAAGTGAAACATTTTGGCATCTTTGTTAATTCTAGTTTTATTTAATAACCTGTAAGGCATGTAAATTTAGGATTTTTTTTTTTTTAATTAATGGGAAAAATTTGAGACACAATACCAATACTTCAGGATTTTGGTCTTGATGTTTGTATGAAATTCTGAGGCCTTGATTTAAGTCTTTCATTGTATTGTGATTTCCTTTTATGTATATTGTGTTAAGTAAAATTTGTCAAATAAATCCTCATTCAAAAAAAATTGAGAAGAAATGAGTTTTGAGTACTACTTTTTAAAAGTACAATTTATTTAATTAAGTTATATAATTTTTATTAATGACATACTTCAAGCTGTTCACTACATTCCAGAAAATTTACCAATCAGCCCTCATGAGCTGATATAAGCTGGTTCCAGGATACCGTGGCTTCTGGAGCACCACACTCTCTTGGTTCTCCTCCTGCCTCACTGGTCTTTTTTCGGTCCCTTTACCTAGGCCTCCTGTTCTCCCTGACCTCTCCATGTTAAAGTGCCCCAAGGCTTAGACGGAAGGAATGGAGGGAGAAGGAAAGATGGGAGAGAGAGAGGAAAAAAAAGACAATCTACAAATGACTTATTTTTACTTTTAGCATATTTGTATTTTATGACATTTTGGAAAATACAACTTTACTATTTAATTATAAAGTACATAACCTTTCTAAGTGATATGGCATCTAGAGGTGTGCTGTCCAATGCAGTAGCACTAGCTATAGGTGACTACTGAGCAACTGAAGTGTGACAATTCCAATCTGAGACGTGCTGGAAATCCAATACATACAAGCTTTTGAAGAGGAATACAAAAAAAGAATGTAAAATTCTCATTAAAAATAATTATATTGATCATAATTTAAAAATAACACTTTGGGTTAAATTATATATATTATTATAGTTAATTTTATCTTTTTTATTTTTTAAAATGAGGCTCACATTGTATTTTTTTTTTTTGACATGGAGTCTTGCTCTGTTACCCTAGCTGGAGTGTAGTGGTGTGATCTTGGCTCACTGCAACCTCCGCCTCCTGGGTTCAAGCGATTTTCCTGCCTCAGCCTCCCGAGTAGCTGGGATTACAGGTATCCGCCACCACCCCTGGCTAATTTTTGTATTTTTAGTAGAGACAGGGTTTCACCATGTTGGCCAGACTGATCTTGAACTCCTGACCTCACATGATCCACCAGCCTCAGCCTCCCAAAGCGCTGGGATTACAGGCGTGAGTCACCACTCCTGGCCTCACATTGACTGGACAGCGCTGCTTGAGATCTTTACTCCAGACTTGCCTCTACCTCTCTCCTCCCCTACTCCGCCTCTGAAAATCTTTGGCTGTACTATGCTACTTTTTGGTGTTAAGTCAAAGACTGTTTTCCTGGTCCATCTCAAATGGAGGTTGCAAATATGTTACTGTTTCTTTAAACTTCTGACTCCCTCCCTCTTCCTTCAATTTAATAATAATTATTGTAATTAATAATTATAGTAGGAACTAATTACACAGCAATCTGCCAATTAATAATTATAGCTCTATGAAAATGACAAGAATCACTGGCAGCCTTTCCATCCAAGTTCCTCATCTGAACCACAAAACACAGAAAAGAATTTGAGTGACTATTCTATTTTACGAAGAATGGAACATAATTAGTACCAATGTAAATGCACAGAAAAGAAGTTAATTCCTATCACATACAAAATGTTCTATATACAATGGATACCTTTAGGGAATCAGGCTTAATTCTTGCACAGAGCCCTGGCTGAGAAAGGCCAGTTGACGTGGATATCCAAAAGGGCAGATGGGATTACTGAATGTTGAGCAACTGCAATATCCCTGAAATACATTTGTGGTCTTATAAGCAGACACCCTGATGGATAACATTCTTTCAGATTACTAAATTCTGGTTTGTTTTCAAAAAATAAATCTCTAGACTGTATAGTTATGCCTTCTGCAGTGCTCAAATCCAACTCTATACCTTCAAGAAGGAACAATCCCGTTCCCAGGGCTTGGGAGCTTAATAAGCTAATCACGGAATATGGTTACGGTTACACTAACTCAACAGGGAAAGCTGCAATAAAATGCCCAAACTTCTGTGCACACAAGTTCATGTCCCTAAGAACAGTGATGTGAATAAGAAACTTTAAAATGCAGTTTCTGAAGTCTCATTTTCTGAAATATAATAGAATCACGTAACAACTTTCCAAGGAAATACTCGTATGTGGACTCCACTACATATTCATGCCAAGCACTAAAGCAGTACCATGCTTTCTGGAAACTCTACCGCCTTTCGAGCATTCACCTCATTAATCTTCAAAAACATTTCTTTAAGACCATGAAGAGAAAGTGTTATTTGCATTTTCATCACATAATTCATCACATAAAAACTATTTGTAGCTTACAAATAGTTTTTCCACATCATTATAATTAAAAAAGAAACCATGAAGAATCCATAGATACAGTCAGCAGTTGTTCATTTCTTCCTTCATTGTTGTATTATCAGCTGAAAACCAGTCAGTTTGCTACAGAACTTTGCTATTCAAACTGTGGCCATGATCAGTCACATTGGCGTTAACTGGAAACTTGTGTAGAAATGCAGATTCTGGCCAGACGTGGTGACTCATGCCTTTAATCCCAGCACTTTGGGAGGCTGAGGTGAGAGTATTGCTTAGTGCCAAGAGTTTCAGATCACCCTGGCAGCATAGTGAGACCCGCATCTCTACCAAAAAAATTAAAAAATTAAATAAAAAATTGGGCCAGGCGCAGTGGCTCATGCCTGTAATCCCAGAACTTTGGGAGGCCGAGGCAGGCAGATCACTTGAAGTCAGGAGTTTGAGACCAGCTTGGTCAACATGGTGAAAACTCATCTCTACTAAAAATACAAAAATTAGTTGGGCATGGTGGCGCACGCCTGTAATCCCAGCTATTCAGGAGGCTCAGGCACAAGAATTGCTTGAACCTGGGAGGTGGAGGTTGCAGTGAGCGAAGATCACACCACTGCACTCCAGTCTGGGTGACAGAGTGAGACTCCATCTCAAACAAAACAAAACAAAAATTAGCTGGTACTGGTGGCATGCATCTGTAGTCCCAGCTACTTAGTAGGCTGAGGAGGAAGGATCACTTGAGACCAGGGGTTTGAGGCTATGATTGTGCCACTGCACTCCAGTCTGGGCAAAAGAGTGAGACCCTGTCTCTACAAGAAGAACAAACAAATAGAAAAGAAATGCAGAAATTCAGAGTTCTCACTCTGCCCAATCCTGCTCCTGCCCCTTCCCATTCACAGGCATTGATAAACACGCTATGTCCCAAAAGCCCCACAGTAAAGCAAGCACAGGAAATTTCCACAATACAAGAGGAAGTTGGCCATGCAGCTTGGCATTTGGCAATATATTAGGCCATGACTATTTGTTGAATGAAGGTATAGACAGACCAATCACTGTCTCTTGCAAATCTCACAGCAATCTTTCATATCCAAATTTGTATCTCTTCTAGAGCCATGTTTCTCAACATAAAAAATTCACTTTCTTTTTTTAAGGCAGAGCAGGAGAATGGCATGACACCCGGGAGGCAGAGCTTGCAGTGAGCCCAGATTACGCCACTCACCCCTCCAGCCTGGGTGACAGAGTGAGACTCTGTCTCAAAAAAAAAAAAAAAAATTGCAGTTACCATGTGGATTGATTATGGTTTGGCCTCTGTGTCCCACCCAAATCCTCATCTCGATCTTGTAATTCCCCACATGTTGGAGGGAGGGGCCTGGGCGGG